GTTCTCTGGTCAGTGATAGTATACATATACACTGTAAATGAATATATCTGCTCCATTTGGCACTGTTAAAATCACCCGTTTTTGAAAATTTGTTCGCGCGAATTCATGTTGATCAACTACACGTCCACTGTTAAATCGCCAACCGTGGCGTCGCGACGCATTAACAGAGCTTTTCGTTAACATTAACTTTAACGCCACTGTTGTTTACGTAGTCGTGTGAGTCATTTAACAGTGCTCGTAAACCATTAATAAGGGGGATCCAGTGAATATTGGCATTGTATGAACAGACATGTGTCATATTTGAAATCTGAACTTGCTGCCAGGTCCATTTTTGCCTATTAAAACTATTCGTAGCGCACTCGCATTTATGTATTTTCACTTGAGCAAAGCTAACGACCAAGTGTTCAAATATATTTTATTTCTTATATTTTTTAAGCACTGAATATCTTTGCAAGTTCGTATGCGTAAGTGTGAAATGATTTTATCTTTTTGGTTTTTAGCTTTTAAATACATACATACATATTTATTAATTCTAAATATGTCAGTCACTGTAAAAATTTTAAATATACATATGTAATAAGATTTGTGATTTAACAAATTTGATAACATAGATATGAGAAATTGAGGAAAAAATGGAAAACACTTGATAAATTTGGATAGTTTCCGCAAATTACTTAGGACCCGCGCCCTCTGCCAATAACTAACAATCATAACGGCGTATCACTTAATTGACTTAATGAGTTGTCCCGTGCGATTGGCGCATCTACTTGGGTATTGACAAAGTTGCGATCGAGACCCTCAAAGAATTTCAAACCCGTCGCATTCTCAATGTCTCGCACATCGCAGAGCAGCGTATGCAGGTCGGTGTCATCATTGAGCGTTGTATTGGGCATCACATAGGCCTCCGCATACGGTGTACTATTGACTTCCTTTGGATCGATGATGATGATTTTGAAGAAGTGCGTGGGTATTGCGACAATGGTATTGTCTTCTGGCTGAAATTCCAAGTACCAATTGTTGTTCATTTCCCGTGGCAGGTAGATGGATCCGGTATATACAAAAACAATGCCGTACTTTTCGGTCATGCTGTGTACATAGTGCAGCAGTCGCTCCCAGATGGTCGCATTGAAGCCGCGGCTCAGAAACGGTTTGATGTTCGACATGAAGAAGACCCGCGCCGCCTCCGATTGCTGATACAAGATGCCAGACGACGGGACTGAACGTGAGCGATGCCGCACCGCAAGATCCCGAAAGTCCCGGCCAATAGCATTTGTATAACTAGAGACATCCACACGTTCGCACATCCATTGAATAGCTGAGTTACGACGATCGAACGAGGTGACAAAATTGAACGTCTCATTTAGACTGATCTCGTTCATGCTGGGGAATCCATACTTCATAATGGAGCCCATCTGGTGCGATTCACTATCGGCAATAACATCGCAATATTCGTTGAACGCCTTCACATCAAAGATATCTAGCTGAAATATAGGTAAATCTCAGTATTAAATTCTCGGAAACAGGCTGCCCAGGGGTGGGGCACTTTACCAGGCCATAAAGTTTGCGCCGTATAAAATAGGCATGCGGATTGTGCTGTTCCAATCTCTTAATATTACGGATCACATTCTGGTGCTGATAGTAGGCGCCCAAGGCAAAGAATGTACCGGCTGTGGCAGCAACAATAGCCAGTTTACCACTTAAGGGCATGTCCATGTCCACATTTCCACCAGCTACTAGTGCAGGGCTAAGAAATTTACAAAACAAATTGAAAAAGGAAACTAAAAATTTTCGATTCGATTCTAAAGCGTGTTTAATTATTTCTCTATTAGAGATTTCTATTGAGAGTTGTAAATCAAAGTGATGTATGCGCCGGATGTATCAAAGATTATTGAATTGATTGACTGGAATCAGAACCAAAAACACAAATTTAGCTGTTGTCAAAACTATTTGTGAATTACAAAATAAAAATAAATGAAAAACTATTT